CAAGAATAATAATGAAAGATTCAGCACACAACTGCGCAGTAAGATTGCGTGAGATAAATTACTTGAATGCATATTTGCAAATTTGTTATTCAGTGATACAACCAAAACAAAATAGTGGAAGCAAACAGCAGGTGGTTCCATGGTGTAATGGTTAGCACGCTGGACTTTGAATCCAGTGATCCGAGTTCAAATCTCGGTGGAACCTCAGCATCATTTTTCCCCATCATTTTCAACACGTTTTTAAGAAATTTTTTCAAATATACCGCTCAAAAAATAATATGGATACATAACTATTTTGAATAAAAATTTCTGATGAAAAACAGCTCTTTGTTAAATTGATGCATGATTCTTAGGTTTGTAAGATAAAAAGTAAAGCTGTGCACTCGAAAAAAAAATTAACTACATTTTATTCACGCTATTAGTCGTTTAGAAAAATTCGTGTGATTTAGGCATATTATAAAAATGAACAAAAAGTGCACAACTTCTCCAATAAAAAAAATTAGTTTCAGTAAAAGATGTTTTCTCTCCTGAACTAAAGAATTGTCCCACATTTGGGAATCGATGAAGTTATTGAGCAGATATACATTGGGGAATTCTTTTCTACACTTATAGAAGAGTAATCTAACAGCTGTATTGTTTTTGAAGTGAAAAATGACAGAAAGTCCACCTATTTAGAATGTTCTACATATGTTTGATTGGGAAACGATTGTTGTTGTTGTGTGTTTTTTATCATGGGATACATATGAAATACAAGTGGAAGAACAGAGACATATAATACAAACAGAAGTATATAGACATTTATTACAGACCATGATCCCAGAATATAACAAGAATAGATACGCTGCTTTCCATTCGAGACGTGAATCCCTTACAGGTGAAAGTCCGACTTCTTTCCGAAGAAAATACAACCATGCACTACTCGGGATTCGAACCCCAACCCAACAATTTCTTATCAGTATAAGAAGTTGGGTATTAACTTAGGACGGCGTGGCCTGGCATGCTCTGTCATGAGAATTCCTAATTCCATTTATTATGGTATAAGTGCTACAATGGATTTGCAGAGATCTTATCAATAAATCACTAAGTTCTCAGATATCCATTTATGTACAGTTACTGATGGAGACACTGATCGATAATACTTCTCTAAATCAGAAAATGTGGCTCACAAAGGAATGATTCCTCAAACTGATGCATTTCTTACTCATAAGTCACGTCACATTTGTAAGTGAAAGAAGTACTCTTCTATGAAGAGAGAATTGCTCATTCCTCCAAATGAGATGCTCTTGCGACGTTTACGTGCAAAACTTGTATCTTGCTTTTTACGAAACACAAACTATAGATCATATAGCACATTATTGAATCAATCGAACAGTCTAACGCGAAGCTTAGACATTACTAACTCTCTGAAGGTGCTGTATTGAATTAGCTTTCGCATAGCAGTTTATTGTGTTAGTATCAAATACCGAAACTTCATGTTGCGTGATCACTATGATTGTCATAGGCATGTTTTTACTCGCTTGGGACTTACGCTGTCTGGTTTTCGTTTAATTTGTATTTCCAGTTTCCAAAAAAAGATTCTTCATAGAATGAATATCACACTTTGGAAACACTTCGAGAATACACTGCAAAAATTTCTTTGCCAATCAAATATGATTATCAACGACTGATGAATCTCCAATGCATCAATTTAAATTTGTCATATATTCTCTGAAATAAAGCTTTTAAAGCTTGTCAATTTACTATTCTTCTACTTGCGGAATTTTACAGATTGCATATCAATTCTTATCTCTTAACGCTTAGGTTCTTGCGCCAGAATAAAAAATAAACTACACTCTCCCATGTTTTTGTACAAATGAAATTTAAAAAAAACTTTCTTTTTTATATTCATACCGAATGAAAACTAATATACAAATACATTTTTGGATTACTAAAGGCTCTTTCTACAGGGAAAGGTTTCTATTCCTCTTTATTTGACTGCCATTAATTTGTCAAACACTTGGTGAGATCTTGAATCTTTTAATCATGATCTTTTGGTATAGTATTTGCATTTAAATCTTGGATTTGGGGGTTTTTGAGGGGATTAATTTTGGGATAACTCATTCTAAAAAGTTTGTGTGAACCCAATTAATAAAAAATTTTTTTTTATAAAAATTAACCACCCTTCCGAATTTTCCATGTGTGTGTAATTTATTCCCGTATTCAAAAATTTATAAATCAACGATGGTTGACACGATCATCGTTACATAACATTTAAATTTAAAATTGTTTTTTTTTTTTTTTAGAGGCAATTGAGTTTTTTAAACCCCATGTAAAAAAAATTAATTTCAGGATAGAAAAGTTCCAAATTTTTTTTTCCCCTGATATTTAATGTTTGAATTAACCTCTTAGTAATTAATAATAATTAATATTACTTTTTTATTATTTGTATATTGAATTACCCATTTAAAAGCGGTTAGTGCAAAAAAAATTTTCAATTGATTTCATCTTTATTATGCGCCAATATCTTTAATCAAAAAGGAAAGCAGAAACGATACTTCAATGTTTGATTTACAAATAGGCGTTTCAAAAGTTCAAAGTTCTGTAAGCTGGGGAATATTTTGTTGTGTGTGTGTGAAAGGTAAAAATTTTTTTACAAAATTTTTTAACAAGATTTAAAATTTAAATTTTGAAAAAAGTGAATCATGTCAAATATCTTCTGGAACAGTAAAAAAAAATACCTTACCACGCCTTGCATAAATGAAGATAAATGCTTCACAAAGGAAATATTTTGAAAATATTTTGTTGCGGTTATTCAATTAATACAAAACCATGCTACTTGATATGATAAGGAGAATTTTTATGTATTTTTTCAGCCTTTTTAAAAAGAATATAAGACTTCGTAAAAAAAAACCACCTTTTCGATCGTGAAAGATCAATTCAACGCATACGAACACAGCTTAAAAAATCATATTGCTCATTCATCAGAATCTTGGATAGAAACAAGAAACAGGTGGTTCCATGGTGTAATGGTTAGCACGCTGGACTTTGAATCCAGTGATCCGAGTTCAAATCTCGGTGGAACCTGGTTCATCTCTTTTCCAAATGTAAATGTTAAAAAAAATTATTCATTCAGAAAAAAATATCAAGAATTATGAAATTTTGTAAGAAGTTTTCCCCCGATTTATTTCTATATTCTCTAAATATATCATTAGTTGATTTATTTTACAAGCATGTCATGCTGGCTTTGATAGCTTAAGCCTTCCCTTCTCGCTCATGTCAAAAGGGGGGGGACAGATATTTTTTGGTGGAATGTTCAAAAAATCCCAAAAAAAGGTTTTATGACAATTTTACTATTATAACGTAACTGGAAATAGTTGGTTTGGTTTCAAATAGTTTAATTTAAAAATTAATCCTTTTAATACAACTTTATTGAATTAAAAAATAGGCACCTGTTTACTGCTTTCTTGAAAATAATGCTAACGTTAAGGGGTTAAAGGCCAAGTCCAGGTGTGCCCATAATCGGGTCCAAATTTTGGTACCTCACTCACTCGAGAAAACCGAGCTCTCCCATAGGTCTTAGACATCAGTTAACTAATCCCTCAGATGAAATTTAAATACCTAATTAATCAGGTTAATTTTTGAGTTTTAGTTAATTTCTGTATTTCTGAAGTTAGAAATTCACTTTAACTTAAGTGAAATACTTCCTTTTCCAAGTTTGAAAAACCCCTACGAACATATGCAATTGAAAGTTCTTAAAATAATTTTACTTAAAAAGGAGGTAGTCGCAGCAGAAACCACAGGTTCTGGAAGTTTCCCATGCCTAAATTGTGGAGGTGGAGGTAGGTGGTGTCGCCATCTATCGTGTAGAAGTCCAACCTGTCTCAGGCTCTGGCATCTTTCTTTCCTTCTCTTCGGGAAGGACAAACCAACAACAACAATTAAAAAGGAGAATATATTTTTGTTTTTTTGTTTGCAGCAAACAAATTTTTGAAAGACAATTCTCTTCGAATAAAAGGCAAACGATTCGAATTGATTTTCCTTTCTTGTGTTTATGATGTGTTGGAGAGATGACTAACACAAGATATTCAGTCTGTTTTCAGCTTTGCTGAGAGTATGGTAAAATAATTTCGCTCAAAATATTTTAAGAGCATATATCATACAAACTGGTTTATTTGGTACAACTGAGAATAGGCTTGAGATAACGATGAGTAAACAGTAAGGATTGCGGCGATTAGAACACCTGCTAAAAGCTTCCGTGAGACAGATCCATTCAATATACAATTTGAATTTTGGTTCGATCCTTGAAAATGAAACAGCAGTCAACAGATGAGTACAGCAGGTGGTTCCATGGTGTAATGGTTAGCACGCTGGACTTTGAATCCAGTGATCCGAGTTCAAATCTCGGTGGAACCTGGCACGTTTTCTTTTTTTTCTTCTATCAGAATAAATTCTTTATGCTTTTAAATAAATGGAAATGTTTGCTCCAAACATGTATATAAATTAATATGAAAGGATAACATTAAACTATATTAACAAATTTAGCAGCTCTTGTTGCCTTTATTCCAGAATGTTCTGCTTGCTTTGTATATATGAATATGAGTATCCGAACATTTTCATCCTAAGTAAAACATGCGTAAAGATCAATATCTTACTTTCAGATATAACTGAGAAAATAACTGTGTTTACATGTTGTTGTCCTTTTCGTTGTAATAAACTTGGAATTCATAAGCATACGGGATGATGGAAAAACGCGCGAAAGTTTATTTCATCAAAACTCTCTTCTTAAATAGCTTGAAGTGAACCAAAACAGTAATAAATATTAGTAGTGTCCTTAGTTGGTTTTTGCCAATTTATTCGTTTAATATCTTTTGGAAAAAACTCAAAAATTAGGCACAAATGGCACTGAAAGATTCAACAATTGTGCAATAAGTTCGTGTGAGACAAATTATATGAATACATACTTGCAAATATCTTATTCAGTGATACAAGCCAAAGCAAAATAGTTAAAGCAAGCAGCAGATGGCTCCGTGGTGTAATGGTTAGCACGCTGGACTTTTAATCCAGTGAACCGAGTTTAAATCTCGGCGGAACCTTGATATTATTTTTCTCCGTCTCTTTTTGATGTCCCTTTTAAATGCTTATAACTAAAAAATTTTAACATTTATCTAAATAAAATATTGAAACTCTATTCTGAAATTTTTCAAAGATTTATTTTTATTGTAATGCCGTTTTACCTATCTGTATGAAAGTTATCTCCGAAATACTCTTTATCACTAACTGCCTGAATCGTTTAATATTCCATACTTTAGATATTTCTGTACTCCCTTTAAATCTCACTGCATGGATGGCAAGAGTAATTGCTAACCTTGTGAGGGTGTCTAGAGACTGCTTTGATTGATTTCAAAAAATTTATCATTCTTACTATTCTTGCAACTGATTCGAGTTTTTGTTTCTTAAAAGCAGTCGTTTTTTTCATGGACTTTTTGAATCCGTTATTTTACAAAATTAACCAACAATCTGTGCACACAATGCTTTTTATTACCCTTACAATTTTATTTCATCATAAAAAAATAACTTATTTTGTGTCATTAAATAGCATTTTATCCAGTTCCAATCATTACATCCCTTAAAGATGGTGCGTTACACACATTTCTATAATCCATTTTCTTTTAATAGATTAGTCTTAAGAAAGACAAACTTTATAAACTTAACACTTTTTGGTAAAAAAAAATACTGTTACTCATCATAATATAATTTATCATATTTGAGCAAAAGGTAAATGCATTATTGCATAAAAACCATAAAACCATTGACGTTTTTTTCTTTCCAAAAAATATTTGTTTCTTTTTCGATTTTCTGTACTGCATATCTAAGCTGTGCTGCGCCTTTTGAATTTTCTCACGCAATTCTTGAACAAATTTCGTACTTTTCTTTGATATAAGTGCACGCACTGTGCGATTGAATATTAAAAAGTTCAGTGTGTTATAAGCAGCTGCAACAAGATCGCATGAATTAGGACCAGAATGAAGACACTCTTCCTTTCTTATAATCTCAGGATGAAAAAATGAATCAGAGCAGGTGGTTCCATGGTGTAATGGTTAGCACGCTGGACTTTGAATCCAGTGATCCGAGTTCAAATCTCGGTGGAACCTTGATATTTTTTCCCTGCCTGATTGCGATTTACTTTTTCAAATGCTTATACTGTTCAAAAAGTTTCAACATTTATCTAAAGAAAAGGATTAAAATGATTTTGTGAATTTATAAGAATTTGTTTCGTCTTTACATGTTAATGCCGTCTTGTGCATTAATAATGCTAATTATTTTACTTATTTATGTCTAATCTCCCAAATATTTCATCACTAAACTTTTTGCACCATATTCTAGATATATCTATACTCGTTTTGAATCTAGGTAAATACGTGTCGATCGTAAAGGCTAAATTTGTGGAATTTTTCTCATTAGGTTTTTAGAGCATGTTTGATCGAGCCTTTGCTTTTAAATGCAGTATATATACTGGCCTCCAATAGTTAAGGTAAAACGCATTTCTCGAAGCTTGTCATTAAAAAATAGCAGCAACAAAAAATTTCATTGTTTATATGGATGATAATCATATACTTCACGAAAACTTATTTGAAAAAACCCCACAGTCTCATAACTTTTATTTAAAGAAACGGAAATATCAGTAGAAATTAGAGAAAGTGTATAAAAATCAAAGTTAAGTTGCTTGGTGTGTACGTTGTATGTATGACTGTTGATCTTCAATAATTGTTGGTAATTTTCTTGACAATACCAGGAGAAAATCTAGAAACGTCATGGAGAAATTATTGACTCGATTCATTTAGGTGGCAGGTTTCGGGATGGAAGGAAAAGGGCACAAGCTCATGTCACTAGAGCGTCTTAAGGTATCCGACTACGTTCGGAACCGGGATTTTGCAAAAGCGTATAAAGGGATAATATTTATGATATTTAGTGTCACTTAGGTTAGAAAATGTTTATAAAATTGTTTTAAAAAGATTATTACAATAAAAAATTATTTAAGTACACTATTTTGACAAAAAATGAACATAGAATGACCCATTTTCAAAATATTCTCCTTTTGTGAAAAATGCTCCTATTATAATGTTTTGCCTGCATATAGCTCAGACCTCTGTAGAGAGGCTCAACTAGAATTTTTGAAATTTATATTTTAGAAGTGGGTTTATCCATATTTTACGACAACAAAGGGGAGTAATTTTAAGAAAAAAACGCCGATAATGATTTCAATGGGTGGTAACTCTGAAAATAATGTGAATTTTTGAAAATCCTTGTTCAGGCTCTCTGGAGAAGTCTTTATTTTATATAAGCGCGGGCGCGAAATATTATTTTAGAAGCATTTTTATAAAAGGAGAACATTTTGAAAAAGAATTATTCTAAGTTAATTTTTTGCCAAAATATTGTATTTAAATAATTTTTTTTGTCAGAATGTCCTTAAAACAATTTTATACATGTATTCTAATCTAAGTGACACTAAATATCATGAAAATTATCCATTTATACACTTTTTCAAAATCATGGTTCCGAACGTAGTCGGATACCTTAATCATCAGTTACAACATCTGTGGGAGACTATTTTCTACTTCTTTCAGGCTGAATGAGAAGCACTTTGCAGCCTCTGCTCGTTGCAGATTTTATTGTATTGGGAACAAAAATCCTCACTACAAAGGTGAAAAACGTCTTCACAATGCAAGTATCTATGCAAAACGACCAGTTATGTGTATTCCTCCAAGCCATCTACAGTGATGTGCCGATTTATATTGGGCAAACGAACATGTTTCCTGGGTCAGACAGCAGTGGACTTCTGTCCTCTTCACATAAGATTCCAGGTTTACACTGACTCGGGGTGTCCACTGATCTGGAGGGAACACAACGCAGTAAGTACAACCAATCCACCAATGTTGAAAGATATATTTACAGAGGTGGTGGAATCACAAGGCTTGGGCAGAAAGATCTCTCTCTGTGGTCATACTGATCTGTATGTGATCTATGGAGGAATTCTGACTGAAGTGAGTTATCGCGGGGAGATCCTAGATCGATATATTCAAACATACACCACTGCTATCGGTAATGAATTCATTCTGATGGATGATAAAGTGAGAAATCACCGAATTGTACTTGTTGAGGATTATCTTTAGGGTTATAGTTTGGAAGGAATGGAATGGCCAGCTCAATCTTCAGACCTGAATCCGATGAAACATATTTGGGGCTACCTTAGTACAGAGATCGCCAAAGCGGTGGTCCACGAGAAAATTTCGCTGATCCCCAGAAAAATGTGGAATATACTTACTTATAACGTTATGTTTTAAGATGCATTGAAACATAATTAAATTCGTGAAAAGCTGTAAAAACGCTACTTGATAGAATTACGTCATTTCATAGAATAACGCCACTGTAAATAAGTTTCATATTGCTGTAGCTGTGTTGTTTTATCTACATGTTTTGCCTCGTCTCGTTTCGTACTCTTCTAATGCTTCATTCTCCTGTACGTCGCATATGTATATCAGTTGAAGCATTTAAAGGTAGGCTTGCGGACATATTGAATTCAATATAAAATACATTCAATATATACATTAGTTGAGTTATTAAGGAAGTTTTTGTGTATTTTCTTTTGCATATTGGTGTTTTTTTAAGACAACTATGTGCATAGTTTCTTTTATTAGATATTTATTGGGATAAAATTCATTTAGGTACATTTTATATGATCTTGGATCACTTTTTTTATAAATATAGTTAGCACTTTAATAGGATTTTTTGTGGCCCCCTGGATTTAAATTATGAATTTACTGGTCCGTGAGGTCAAAAAGATTGGCCACCGCTGCCTTAGTCCGACTTCAAGGTTCTTTACATGAGCCGGAACAAGGGTTACCCCATATTTGATCCTCGCTTCCCATTTCGGTATCTGATAATTTATAGCATGGAAAAGTCGATGCCACTAACGCATTACATTTAGGAGGGGACATATTTCTTATTAAAACTCATTTTTGTAATGTTTCAAAGACCTCTTTTCTCAAAAGTCTGTGATATGTTGCTTCTTCCAATAAGGAATTTTTCTCACCAGTACTTTTTTTTGTTGTAAAGTATGTTTGTATTCAACTTATGCAAATCTATGTCACACTCAATAAGAAACTGTTTATTACACATTTCCTCCAAATTTCTTGTTTGTATGTTCATTCATTTTTAAAACAAAACACATTAAACAGGCCGTACCTTTTGTAGGGCACTTGTAACTTTTGAAGGGAAATGTATACAAGGGATATATCTACGTTTAATTCATAAAGAACTCATAGGAATTTTGAACCTTTGTTAACAGTGGCGTAACGGAGAATATTTGGAACCGCTGCAAAGTCAGGTTTTGAGCTCCAAGCCAAATTTACAAAGGGTGCTTGGTATCAGTCAGACTTTGCCCCCTTGATGGGGCTTGCGGGAGTGTACATTACGCCACTGTTTGTGAATGCATTATTTTACTAAATTCCCCAAATCTGTGATTTATTTTGTATTATTCATAACTTTTCTTTCCTTATACAAATGTATTTTGTGTCATTAAGTAACATTAATCAATTTTCCAATCATGACATCTCTTAAATATAATACATCAGCTTTTTAATTCATTTTTTTTTTATTTAATAGCTGATAAAAGTTTTACATAGATTTATGTTATTAATGAAAAAATATGTGCTTACTCATCGCGATGTATTTGGACCAAAAGTCGATTAAATGCGTTGCTGCGTTAAAACTAATATTCTATGGTATTTCTTTCATAAAAAAATATCTGCTTTTCATATCTGCTTTGTGTACTTCATATTTAAGCAATGAATAACTATGTGTAATTGAATAGTAAACAGTGTTCAGTGTTTTATGAAGCAGCTGCAACAAGATCATGTGAATTAATTCACGTGAAATGCTTTTTTCCTTTATGAAAAAATCTCAGTGTGAAAATCTGTAAAAAGGCAGGTGGTTCCATGGTGCAAAGGTTAGCACGCTGGACTTTGAATCCAGATCCGAGTTCAAATCTCGGTGAAACCTGGTTTAATTTTTCTTTCTTTTTTCAATTTCTTTA